CCCCCCCCCTCCCTCCCTTTCCGCAATCCCTGAATCCCCAACAATCCTCAAATTCCTAATTCAGAAGGCTGGTAACGCACTTGTAAATGTAACCATCTTCCAACTATATTCTTTATTGTATCTATGTTTGTTCTCTTTTTGGTCGCCTGTACAAGAAGGCAAGGCAAAGGCCTTAACATACTAAAAGGCAATATCATCCCATCATTTACTTATTTAAAAATGGATCAGGTGATCCGTCTGCTCGTGCCGCCGTATGTCATAAAAAAGAGTTTTAAAATAACAAAAGTTCCCCCATTTCTTCTTCACTTACACTTCGGCGTAATTACGGTACATACAAACATACAAACATATATAAAAAATAAACATATCACTACAATTGAGAAACTCCTCCTTTATAGGAAGTCTGTAAAAGTCTTACTTGGTATATATTTTTTTTGGGGTTAGCCGGTAAGCGAGCAGACGGAAGCAATCGTCGTCGCCCATGGACACCTGGAACACCAGAGACGTTGCAAGTGCGTTACCGGCCTTATGAGGATTGTTGGGAATTCAGGCATTGGGGAAAAGGAGGGAGGGGGGAAATAGGCCTCCGGTAACCTCAATCACACGATGAAACACAACGCAAGCATTGTTTCAACGTCGGTTTATGTGGATACACCTTCAAACTGTATAACTACATACCTATGAAGTTAGAAGTTCCTTATTTCATCAGCCATGATTTATTTTTACACCTACTTTCTACGTGTGTTATTTATACATTATATGTATGTTATTATATTATAGCTGTCGTGAGACACACCATATTAATTACTCGCGTAACCGTTTGACGAGGAACCCGAGTAGTTTCAAGCCATGCTAGAGGCTTATATTGTCGCGGAGAACCTAACGGGTAACCGGGGCTCCGGCTCGACGTGCAGGAGAAGGAACGGGGTGGTTTTTAGTCAGTAAGAGTCTGACACTCTAGTTCTGTTTAAAATTAACAAAATGTTAAGCTTATTATAATTTTTAAAAATTTAAAAAAAAAAAAAAAAAAAAAAAAAAAAAAGGCTTATATTCATGTGCAGCATACCACGATCCGAGATGCGGCGACTGTCGCTGCTCGTCAAATAGTTACGTAAGTAAGCCGAAAACAGAATAATTAATATACTCAATAATTATTAAGATGTTTTACTTCAATTTCGGTAACTTCTGTAAAATATGGATAATTGAATATGATCATAGATTTATACATAAAACAGCAGTTATATGTGGATTTAAGGAAGAAAAGTAGCGTATACACTATCCAAATTCAAGATACCATCAAATGTAAGTGTCTCCGGACGCCCCGACCAGCCAATAGACCACCACAGATGAGAGCCAGTAAAGCTAATGCCTGATCCACAGCTGCAGAAGACTAAACTGGTTACAGATTGCTACTAGAGGTAGTGGGCAAAGTTTGCGCATAATGTATTATTGATGACTACTGCACCAAATTAAATTAGATAATATGTTTATTTTATTAAAGTCAAAGTCAAAATCATTTATTTCAATTAGACCAGGAAGGCACTTTTGAACGTCAGCAACAAAATTATTTTTTTATTATCACGAAAAGGAACAAATGATTGGAGGAAAAAAAAATCGAGTGCCCAAAAATTTAATTTATTAGCTGTGTGATACAAATACAATATTTTTTTAGTAGATGTAATACAAAATGATAAAGAAAATAATAACATGACGAACAAAAACTGGACAAACTTTAGTATACCTCTGTTTATCCCTTGGCTATGATTAGGTACATGTTAAACACACAAAAATACCACTACACTATTAGTAAGGGCACAGGTGTAGTCTCCGTAACTCCGAGGGTTGTCTGCGATCAGACATAATCCCTCCCTCAGTTTTGACACAAGGGAGCATAATATGTGAGGTCAGATACATAACACCGATGCGTTTAACCGTAAACTATTAAAATGTAGACTACCACCCATATTATACTTTAAAATTAATAAAAAGATTGCTGTTTACAGCAAGAAAGAAAAGCAATAAATGTACATAAGACTGTTTCACATTTTGTCTAAACAAAGGATGGAATCAAAATAAAAGTAAATCAATGAACAAACGAACCAAGAATCTTCAAAAAGTTATGGGTTTTAAGATGAGACATAATATTATGAATTGAAAAAAGAATAAAGATAAGAAACTTGATATAAATTAGTTAGATGCCATAACATGTTCAATCCATTTCAAATTAGAGTATACATCAACAAATCTTGAAAAGAAAATTTTATTACCGCAGTTTGCTACTCCAACCAGAGTATCATTAGCAACTAGTGGACCACCCGAGTCCCCACGCGCAATTCTTGCTGAACCAGAAACACAAATAAAGTTAGTTTTGACCCCATCCATGCAGTTATGAACAAAAGCCTTTCCTTGTCTTGGCTCTCCGGACTCAAATTCTGAGTATCCATACCCGGCCATTGTGACCTCAAGATACGGGCGAACAGGACCTTTTGGTAACTGTATCGGCTGCACTTTGTCATTGAAATCAATACGTCTATCAACCTTCAGAAGGGCTAAATCTTTCTTATGATTTGTTAAAGGCATGTCTCCGCAATATTTCGATCTATAGTGCACATAACCAGGATAGTTGAATATATTTGTGCTTATGACTTCTGCTAAAACTTCATTTTCCTTTATCACAGAAACCCGAAGAACGTCGTCAGTGAAACAATGAGCCGCACTTATAATCCATTGATTATTCAAAATTGAACCGCTGCACAATGGAATACGGTCATTTTTGTGATGTTTTATCAAATGCACTAGATATTGGTGTTGATCCGGAGGTATGGGATCACCGCCGTATACTAGTGGAACTATTTTAGCTTCCAAATTATTAATTAATAAATAGAACAAACACAAATATAATAATTTCATTGTGCTGGTTCAGTAATTATGTACTGCACATTACCAATGTAATTCGTTTTTATATTGTAGAGCGCTGTAGGTAGTTGAAAAAGAATGCGATTAAAACGTTATAATATAGAACATTTAAACGAAAAAAACAACATATATATAAAGTTATTTATTAGTAAGTGAATTTCAAAAATTTTTATGACAAGAGCCTCGTGCAGATAACGCCTGTGTTAGTAATGCGCGGACACGATACCTCAGCGGTTCCTAAACGGTGTGACGATGCTTTGTAGGTACCCTTTTTTGGTCCCTGTGCAAGTCTTACCTGCTTGTATAGGGGCCGGGGAAGGGAAGGTCTTAATATACTAAATGGTAATCCTATCCTACTAATATTCGCGGGCCTGCAGACGGCGAGCATGGGTGGCTCCCCATCCGACCAGAAACAGACCCGAGCGTACGGCGCGTCGCATTCCGCGCGGGGCTCAAGGAGTCATCAGACCACCACAGATGAGGCCCAACAGGGCCGATACCGATTTGGAGTCGCGGAGAACCTAAACCGTTTACCGGGGCTCCGACTCGACGTGCAGGAGTAGGAACGGGGTGGTGTTTAGTCAGTAAGAGTCTGACACTCCCTCCCGCCTAGCCCAGGCGGGAGCAGTGATTCGATAATTTTCCTCCCCCTTAAAAAAATCCTACTAATATCATAAATGCAAAAGTTTGTGTATTTGTAACTCCTTCATGTCAAATCGGCTGAAGGGTTCGGGATGAAATTTGGAACAGGTAGATTACGATATGGAATAAGACATGGTCTGCTTTTTATTCCATGGGAACGCCGGTAAAGCCGCTGGCAGAAGCTATATAGTAAAAATGGATCATGTGATCTGTATATCCGTCTATCCACCCGCTCGTACCGCTCTATGCTATAAAAACAGAATAATGTTTAAAAAAACAAAAACTGCCGCTATTTCTGTTTTATTTACCCACACTTCGACGTAATTACTGTTCATACATAGAAAATGAAGATGTCATTCATATTGAGAAACTTTTCTTTTTAGGAAACCTGTGAAAAATAAATAAATATGGAATTTACTGAACGAAATTCAACATATTTTTTAAATTGCTTTGGCACACGCTTCCTTCCAGTCACTGCGCAGTACTAACGATCTTCTTATTTTCCTTCGAAATAAAACCAAGTCTTTTATCTACACCTTACATAACGATTATAATGGTAACTCTCAAATGAAATCTCTTCTCTGTCTAGTCTATGCATCGTGAGTACTTACTCATAAAGATTTACATACAAAAGTGTATGTTTATTCGTTTTTTTCGCGTCGCCATCATTAGTGTTGTAGGTAGCTGAAGTCTGGAGATAGGACACTGAAAAGTGATACGCAACTATTCTTCTTTGAATACATGCGGACAAAGCCGCGGGTAACCGCTGGCTTATGAATAAACTATGATCACTTGCATTGGTCAATGTTTTACGGAATGTTATCGTCATTAAAGAAAATATTTAGATTTTTATAGTGTATAAATACCAAACGTAGAAAGTACACGAGTAAAAATAAATCATAGTTTATCTAATAAGGAATTTATAACTTCATACGAGTATGTTCCAACGCGTGACATTCGCGGGACACGAAGCCACACGACTAATTTCCATTAGCAATTCGTGATGACATCGAAGTAACCTAATTCCTACTTTGAGAATTATGACCCAACGGATTAATAAGCTGACGTGTTAGTAGAGTCATATTTGTCGAAGGACCGATGACGATTAGAGTAAGGGTAGATTTGTTTTGGCGATGGGATTGCATCGAGATAAACATAGGCTAATGAACCCTCCAGGCGGCTGTGGTGTGGTGACGATATCCGCAGGTTGGCTAACAGTAGTTGAATGCAAGGAGTTAAAGATTAAGCTCGGTGCCATGCTATTGGAGAGGCCTGTGAGGGCGTAAACGGGCTGATGCTGATAATTTGAAACTAGTATGATGCTGATGGTTTCCAGTTAATTTCAACTTGAGATATGAAATACAAACATATGATAAACGAAATTAGTTGTTCATCCATGCTAAGGCAGCGTAGATAGACAGAACAAAAATATTAAACAACGTAATAAATAAAATCTAAACCAATCTTGATTCATAATTTCTTTAAAAAAGCAAAAGGAAGTCAAACATGCTGTCGACCGGTTTCGGTGAAGAAGAGGGCGCCTAATCTTAACGCATACATACAGTTAATTTAATGTGAGATTAACATTAACAATAGCGATACACGAAGCAGAGGCCGCTCTACTGTCTGGACATGACAATACAATATGGCGAGGATAAAGTCCGGCCCCTCGCCAAGGCCGGTCTTAGCGACAACATCGGACTCCCCACAAACCAAACACGAAATTCTCAACAATAGCTACAAACCCAAGAAAACTTTAATATCGTGATACAGGCCTCGCCATCTGATTGGTCTATTCTAAATATTTCGTGCCGTTCCAGTCAATGCACTTCAGCAAAAAATGCCGAGGCCAGTGGTAACGAAATAGCGGTAACAGTCATTATCTTGGCTATACTGGCCGAAGTTTTGTGTATAATGTACCATGAAGACAGTCGGCAGTTATTTTGTGATGTATTTTTTGATGTGCTTAAAATGGTTATTTTTTTTTTTGTATTGAGGAAGGTGATACTGGCAATATTAAACAGTCCTTTCTAGGCGTTTCGCATTTATTGTCCCTTTGATATCCTCTAAGAAATTGAATTTCAAGAATTAGAACCTGTTTTCAGAAGGGCACTATATCCTAAATGTCTTCAAGTCGTTAGTGGCTACTTATAGACAGACGTGTTCCATTTTTGTTTATGGAAAATTCCGGACCAGAATACAAGTCTTCAAATAAATAAGGACATAAAAATAAAAATGGCGACAGTCTGCTTCGCGGCACTGTGTTGCGGTTTTCTTTTGTAAACTCAAAATTCAACAAACTGAGAGTGTGGTCACACATTGTCCAAGTTCCATTTATTTTAAGGACCTTTTTTGCCTTTGAAGGCTCTTTTAAGTGCTGTGGTCAGTTATGAGGATCGCTACTTGACTGTAGTAGGAACATCTTTCGATTGTCATAAGAGTGACAATATCAAAGATAAAAAGCCTGAGATCCTTTGTGAATAAGACAAAAATGTTAAATCTACATAATATGACATGAGTTTCCTACATATATGAAACATAAACAAGGACCGCTAAAGAATAGAATCCTTTTCCGGAGTCAGTGTTTCCTGAAAAATACTACATCATCGGCCACATCATCGCTTACCACCAGGCGAGATGGTGGTCCAATGCCATTATTATAATACCCGAAGGGGTAGGCAGAGGTGCACACTGAAGTAACACCCACTTTTCACTATTTATGTTATGAGTCCCATGTAATAGGGGGTGAGCCTATTTCCATATACCGGGCACCCAGACTCCGTGCTACTACTGACAATTTTTTAAAAACCCAGTAATACTTTGCCCGACCCGGGAATCGAACCCGAGACCCCTTACCTGGCAGTCGCACCTGTGACCACTCGACCGACAAGGCAGTCATCATACATTAAAAAAAAATCTAAACTGATAGACACACAGAATAAATTTTGTATAAAACATACCTATGGATGAATTTTTCTTACATGATAAGGATTGCTCTTTGATTGAAGTGGACCTTTTAGTGGGAATCTGACCTCAAGATAAACGGAGCCTCTATTGTTCATCCCAAAGATATCGCTTGATAGGTTACAATATATCTTGGATATATATGCACACATATTACGTAGGTAGACGCGATATTTTCTTCTTAGAACAACACGTAATTTCTATTTAGTTGTAGGATATAGATAAATCATATTTTTTATGATTACTTAAACTATTCCTTAGAAACGATTTTGTTCCGAAAACAATTGCTAAGAACTTGGTTAAGTAGCCATTAAATTATTAACGCATTATTAAATATACCATCAACTTTCCATCACTCAACTTATGTTTGAGTTTCATATTATAAGCAGTTATTTTAAGATATACCTTAAGCGTCAATAGACGTCGCGTCAGGCCCAGAAGTAGATGGCGGGATGAGCTTGACGTCTATGAAAAGGAATGGCCACAGAAAGCTAAAAGGAGAGATGAGTGGAAGGAAGTTTTCTCTTTTTAAGGGGGGAAATCATCGAATGATTTCCCCCGCCTGGGTGAGGCAGGGGGTCTGATTCTTCGACGAGCTCATCGCCCGACCAGAAGCCCGTGCTTACGGTGGCCGGAGACCGTCATGCGATCTCCGACGCCCGGAGTTTCCTTAACGGCGGTTGGGCTGTGAGGAGACAACGCTTCGCTGCCTCACGCACCCCGCCTCCTCCTTAGCTAGTATGACTGCTTCGTAAAAGGAGGAGACGGCATCCCAGTCCTCCTCGCTCCGCATCATGGCCCGAACTAGGGCTGGACGCGAGAGGTGAGTGGAAGGAGGGTAGGAAGACCTTTGTTCTGCAGTAGGACGACCATGCCAAAAAATAAATAAATAATGTGATAGCTTATAGCCATTATTACAATACACCTACGCTTTGTTAATAAATAAAATATAGTTTCTTTTATGTATTATCCTTTTTATACAAACGAAAATTATCCATTCATATGCGTATTTTCATAGGCCACTTACATGTTATTTTAGGCTTGCAAGTACCTACTTTACCAAGCGTTTAGACAAGGTCGTTTTCATCTGAATATTTTTCTAGGATCCAAGATAAATGTTCGCAAGGTAATGTGTACCTTGTTACCTAACTTTTATGACCGTATCTACAATGCCCTTATTGTGAATTACTTTAAGTAGAAAATGATTTTGCTACTGTAAAACATGTTTCTGGACTTAAAATGTACTCAATTTGCACCAATATGAGTGAGGCATTGTAGTAGTTGAGTCTTAGAGCCTAATCCTACTACTCGATACAAGAATCGCACTTGAGAACTATAAAACCATTACAGTTTTGTTAAAATTTTGTTTAGTTTACATAATTAGATACATCTGCTCTGCTCAACGAATTTGCTTTATTT